GACTGGATAAGGAGCATGGTGGGGTTGAGAAGAGCTGTAAAACCTCAAAAGAAGGCCTCAGCTGAGGTCTGGAAAATAGACCCCAATGGAGAACCAGCAGGAAGAAGGCGTTGCCATGGAGACGGTACCTAAAACCCATCCTCACCTTTGTGACTATTTTAACTCTTACCTGAAACATTCTCAGCGAGTGTTACATGTGCAGCATCTTTGAAAAAACACACTCTCAAGAAGCCTGGTAGGTTGCTCGAGTTGATCAGTTGACCAACTGTTTGTTCTTCAGTGGACAGAACTGATCATCATGTCACAGAACTAAGAAGGTGTAACTTTAGATTTCAGTCTGTGTTATATGATAGTGAAAGGAAATACCTAAGATAATATGGTTGAAAACTGAGGGTAGAAACAGCCCTTCTTTGATGCTAATCGTCCTCCCAAATCCAACTCATTCATCAAGGTAGAACTTTGCATGATCTTGAAATACACTGTTGAAATACAGAGTACTTATGGATAGACATTCCTGATAGAAAATGAAGTCGCATGAGGTCACTAAGGTGTGAAATGCAGTAAAGGTCCAGCCTATAAACCTGTAGGTGCTGGTTATATAATGGTGAACAAAACGGAGAACAGAACATCCTGATTTTGCCCTTATTTCTGCTAACTTCAGCTTCTGGACATTGATATTACTCCTTAGTCAAACATGACATAAGGACGTGGTAAAAGATTCAGATTTCTGAGTTTATTTAATAAAAGCAAGAGTAAAACACCAAGAAAACATGTTTGAATTGCTCATCTTCATAATCATAGCCCTGCTTTAAAATAGTCTCTAACTGAACTAAGAAACAAACATGCATTTTAAAACCGCAGTTTTATGACCTAATATTTGTATGACAGTGGCTAAAAGTGTTTTTTTTTTCCTCTTGTTACTTTTTCATTTAAATAAAGGTTTCTTCCCTGATCAGGAATGTTAGCTAGTTAAAGAGCATTTATTCTGTTGGTTTGGTGTATTCTGTAAGGAACTCTTTTAAATGGCAGCTTGCCATTTTATTTTAAAAGTCAGTTCTATTGTAGAGAAGAGAGAATGGTTTGATGACCTTGTAACCTGTGACTGTCTCTGTGCGTGTGTGTGTTTTATAGCAGGGGCCTTTGTGATGGTGGGAATTGTATTGATTGTGACTTTGGATGAAATTGAGAACTACAGTTTGTGTACTTTGCTTTATTTTATAGTCATGCTAAGCAATCTGACCAAAGATGAAGTGGAACTATTTTTTAAATTACTTGGTCATCCTAAATGTAGTCATAAAGTTGGGACAAGTATAGTGAATTTTCTGTTAGCTTTTCTATTATCAGAGAAATATATATATCAAAAGGTAAATATATACAAGTTTTTTAATCTGAAAAAATACAGAAAGACTTTTGGGAAATGCAGTTTTAAGTGAAAAAGGTAGAATATAGAGGGAAATTATTGTTAACAATTTTAAAATTTGTTTCTAGTCTGTTTCTATGGGTGTATATTTTAACATGTATTTCACTATTCTGTTTTTCATTCAGCACTCTACCATTAGCATTTCTCTAGCATATTCAAGATATATGCTTTTCAAGCAGTTAATTCTGTAATGTTATAATAATCCAATAACTAGTTACTCAGATGTTTAAACCTTATCATTGTTTGTTGTTGTTTAGTTGCTTAGTCATGTCTTGTCTCTTGTGACCCCACAGGCTATATATCCCACCAGGCTTCTCTCTCCATGGGATCCTCCAGGCAAGAACACTGGAGTGGGTTGCCATTTCCTCTAGCAGGGGATCATCAAACCCTGTGTCTCCTGCATTGGCAGGCAGATTCTTTACCACTGAACCACTAGGAAAGCCTTTACTTTCCAGTTATTCATCATTATAGATAACATAAAACAAATACCGTTAAATGTCAATCTTCATTTTCATTCCTGATTGTTTCTTTGGAATACGTTTCTAGAATTGAAATTGCTGTCTGTTTGAGATTCTCAGTACATAGTGCCAAATATCCTTCTAGAGGAATGGTGTTAATTTTCACTTTCAACAGCAGAGGAGTTCCATGCCCATTTTTCAAACATATCCATATGATATCACTTAAGCGTGCCAATGTTGGCTAGAATCAGTTTTTAAATTTCCCTTACTGTTTGAAAACTGCCTGTGGAATTTGTATTTGTGTTTCCTGGTGAAGTAGAATCTTTTACTGTGTATTAACCATTTGTTTAATGTGTGTGCATGGTTTTGCTCAAGTTGTATTGATTTATTTATCTTTCTAAGGGTATTAACCTTGTCTTATCTTTAAGGCAAATATTTCCTCCATTAGTTATCTACTGTTGAATTTTCCTTATTGATGTACTTTTTGTCACATCTACCAAGGCAACCTCTTCGTTTTCCTAAATGTTGGCACCATGTAGGAATTATGTGAGTTATGATGCAAACAGTGACCTCCAAAACTAAAAGATTATGTTGGATTAAGCTAGGTTTGTGATAGGTTTACACCAGCAATAGTAAGCTCTATATAGGAATAGAAATATGTAGCAATTGGAAGACATACGTGTATGTGTGCGCAAGATATGTGTATGTGCAAGCATACACTGATGCTTAGAAAACACCTGTTTTTATTGATCTCTGGCAATATTGTAAAAATAATGTGATAGTTTTGAATTCTGAGTCTCTGGCCATACCCCTCCAATCCAGTCTCAGACTCTGAGCTTATCTTTTATGGACTGTCTGAATTTGCCACCATTATTTAGATGACACATGCTTTGAAATTAATATAACAGAATGATGTGATATGATGGAATTGAGTATGTCCAGGGAAGACTTCTTGGAGGAGATGACATGTGAACTGGTGCTGAAGGTGAGGAGGGGGCCAGCAGAGGGTTACAGGTGGGAAGGTTGCCCAACAGTGGGTTCTGACCTGAGGGTTCACCTGGGCTGTTTGTGAGTAGATGGGGCACTGTGGTAGCAGATGAAGAGGTGAGCAAAGGCTCTCATGTAGGACTGGGGGCAGGTGATGGAGGAGCCTGGATGTTCTCAGTGGGGAAAAGCCATGGGAAGATTTGACATGGTAGAGTGACAGGAACTGACTTTTACTTCACGTGCCTGCCACTGGGTAGAGAGAGGCTTCCAGAGGGGGAGGAAGGGAGACAGGTTTGCAGTGGTGAAGATGAGGGAGTTCGAGGGGCTGGCACCAGAGTGGTTGCCATGGAAATGGAGAGAAGTAGGCAGACTGAGGAGATAGGCTGAAGGTGGAGTTGGTGTGGGGTTGATGTGGGGCTTGAAGGGGAAACAAGAATGACTTCAGAGACTTTGAAGACCTGGGTGGGTGGTGATGGACTTTCTCATATAAAAAAAGACTGGAGGGGTCAAAGATGAGTAAGTGAAGAATGCCCTCATGAAACTGTTAATAACCACTTGGGTTTTGAATAATGCAGATTGTCAATCCTCAGTGTTTGAAAATACTGAGTGAGGAAGAGCACCGTTTTATACAATCAGTTTGAACATGGGGAAGATGCCTGTTCAGTTAGAAAGAGATTTAAAGAATTATTTTAGACCATGACATTTTAAATAAGGACATCTTTAAATCATTCCTAAAAATAAATGCATAAAAAAATCTCAGAGGAGAGTACTTTATGTTCTGATTCATCATTTTGCTACCTTTACAATCAGAAAAGTCATCATAATTTCTAATTTTAATTTAAACAAAACTATGGAGATCAGTCCTGGGTGTTCATTGGAAGGACTGATGGTGAAGCTGAAACTCCAATACTTTGGCCACCTCATTCGAAGAGTTCACTCATTGGAAAAGACCCTGATGCTGGGAGGGATTGGGGGCAGGAAGAGAAGGGGACGACAGAGGATGAGATGGCTGGATGGCATCACCAACTCGATGGACATGAGTTTGGGTAAACTCCGGGAGTTGGTGATGGACAGGGAGGGCTGGAGTTCTGCGATTCATGGGGTCACAAAGAATTGGACACTACTGAGCTACTGAACTGACTGACTGACTGATGCTCTTTTTGTGTGTTCGTGTAAACAGGAGAATGAACAACTTTTAAAAATCTCTTCCTAAAGTGGAGATTGTTACTAAACTCTTACCCAGATTTACATAAAATGATGGATGTTTGTAAACATTTGTACACGTCCACGTTTTGATCTTTCTTGAAGTAGGTCAGTACTTGGGAGCTTTATTATAGGCAAATGTTGGCGTGATTGGTATCTTGTAAAGAGCCTTTTTAATTCTGACTAATATTTAGTAGCTGAAGGAAGATGTAACCTAATCGTTTGGCATAAAATTGAGGAACTAGAATTTTTTCCACAAGACTTATAGGTACCAGCTTGATTTTCCTCCCACTGAATCTTTTAAGAACGATCACTTGACTGTTGTAGTTTGATGCTTCAATTCCAAAGTTAGTCCTGCAGAATTTTGAAAGCTGTATATGTATTGAGTTTATAGATTAAGACTTGAAAATGTGATTGTTGTTGTAGTCGCTAAGTCATGTCCAACTCTTTTGCGACCCCATGGACTCCATAGCCTGCCAGGCTCCTCTGTCCATGGGATTTCCCAGGCAAGAATACTGAAGTGAGTAGCCATTTCCTTCTCCAGGGGATCTTCCCAAGTCAGGGATTGAACTCTCATCTCCTGCATTGGCAGGTGGGTTCTTTACCACTGAGCCACCTTGGAAGCCCTGGAAATATGATCACTGGATTTCAAATGAATTTGTTATATCTAATATGGTGAATGACAGATTATCACTGTGGCTGGAATACAATGACATGTTTCAGAGTATTCTTCAATGCTGTTTTTAAAAATCACTTAATTTTGGAGATTTGTTATTAGGGTAAAAAAATGTTTAGTTGGACTAATGGTCAGTCAATATTGACAAATTATCTCTCTGTCCATCTGTTTGTCCCTTTGTCCCTCTCCCCACTCCCACTTCCCCACCCCTTCCCCCTTTTCCCCCCGCCCTCTCTTTACCCGCTACCTGTGGCAGATGGTGCGTGAACAATACACCACGATCACGGAGGGCACCCAGATAGAGCGGCCAGAGAACCAGGCTGTCTACAAAATTGGCATTTATGGCTGGAGAAAGCGTTGCCTGTATTTGTTCGTCCTTCTTTTGCTCATCATCCTCCTTGTGAATTTTGCTCTTACCATTTGGATTCTTAGAGTCATGTGGTTTTCCCCAGTAAGTGTTTATTTTTCCTGATAATCATGTTCTCGTTTTGTTTATGCTGTCAGTCCATCCCCATTGCATCAACAGAAGCTCCCTGTCATGCATTTAGTGTTTGTCTCCTGTCTGGATAGAATGCTCAGTAGCAAAAAAAATACATATAACATTTAAAATAATGTAGCATTTACCTTTTCTTAACCTTTTTTAATAGTTTCACTGTAAATTATACTGTGTTGATTTTACAGTGAATTTTCATTGCAGTTTTTCCATTCGTCATTATCTCTTCATGGTAGGAAAACTGGAGCCATCTTGAGTTTGGGGTTGATTGTGTGTCATGATTGCTTAAAAATTATTTAATTCATTAACTGGAAAAATTTTACAAATTGTATTTTTCTAATTTCACTAGTTTATAAATATTATACCATTCAGATGCAACTTACTTGATTTTTTAAAAGCCCCATTCTGATATGCAATAAATTCTAGTACACATTTCAGTATTTAACAGCAAACTTAGTAACTAGTGAATTCAGTTCAGTTCAGTCACTCAGTCATTTCCAACTCTTTGCGACCCCATGGACTACAGCACACCAGGCCTCCCTGTCCATCACCAGCTCCCAGATCTTACTCAAACTCATGTCCATCAAGTTGATGATGCCATCCAGCCATCTCATCCTCTGTCATCCCCTTCTCCTCCTGCCTTCAATCTTTCCCAGCATCAGGGTCTTTTCCAATGAGTCAGTTCTTCTCATCAGGTGGCCAAAGTATTGGAGCTTCAGCTTCAGCATCAGTCCTTCCAGTGAATATTCAGGATTGATTTCCTTGAGGATGGACTGGTTGGATCTCCTTGCAGTCCAAGGACTCTCAAGAGTCTTCTTCAACACCACAGTTCAAAAGCATCAATTTTTCAGCACTTGTCCAACTCTCACATCCATACATGACTACTGGAAAAACCATAGCTTTGACTAGATGGACCTTTGTTGGCAAAGTAATGTCTCTGGTTTTTAGTATGCTGTCTAGGTTGGTCATAGGTTTTCTTCCAAGGAGCAAGCTTCTTTTAATTTCATGGCTGCAGTCACCATCTGCAGTGATTTTGGAGCCCCAAAAAATAAAGTCTCTCACTGTTTTCATTGGTTCCCCATCTATTTCCCATGAAGTGATGGGACCAGATGCCATGATTTTAGTTTTCTGAATGTTGAGTTTTAAGCCAACTTTTTCTCTCTCCTCTTTCACTTTCATCAAGAAGCTCTTTTAGTTCTTCTTCTCTTTCTGCCATAAGGGTGGTGTCATCTGCATATCTGAGGTTGTTGATATTTCTCCTGGCAATCTTGATTCCAGCTTGTGCTTTACCCAGCTTGGCATTTCACATGATGTGCTCTGCATATAAGTTAAATAAGCAGGGTGACAATATACAGCCTTGACATACTCCTTTCCCAATTTGGAACCAGTCTGTTGTTCCATGTCAAGTTCTAACTGTTGCTTCCTGACCTGCATACAGATTTCTCAGGAGGCAGGTCAGGTGATCTGGTATTCCCATCTCTTGAAGAATTTTCCACAGTTTGTTGTGATCCACACAGTCAAAGGTTTTAGCATAGTCAACAAGCAGAAATAGATGTTTTTCTGGAACTCTCTTGCTTTTTCGATGATTCAGCAGGTGTTGGCAATTTGATCTCTGGTTCCTCTTCCTTTTCTAAATTCACCTTGAACATCTGAGAGTTCATGGTTTACATACTGCTGAAGCTTTGGCTTGGAAAATTTTGAGCATTACTTTGCTAGCGTGTGAGATGAGTGCAGTTGTGCAGTAGTTTGAGCATTCTCTGGCATCGCCTTTCTTTGGGATTGGAATGAATAATTTAGTAACCTAAAAATCAGTTATTATAAGGGATTCGGTGTCTGTTTTAAGCACCCTCATGTTCTCAAGATAGCTGGGTAATTTTATATGCTTTAATAATATTTTGTGTCCCTTTTGAAAAAAAATTCACTTAATGCAGAATGTTTTTACTTTACAAGATAGTCACAGTGAGAAAAGATGCAGTAATGAACGTTTTTTGGAGACTGAATGAAGGTTGAACTCCTCAGGTTTAAACCCCAGGCTCTGTCAGGGGCACCTCCTGACTACAGGATCCTGTCTGGCCTCAGAAAGACCTTCGCTATGTGGAAGGCTGAGGGATGAGCAGGAAGACCCTGGAAAGGCCTGGAAGGGAGGCCCACACCCACCCACCCCCCCACCTCCAACCCCACAAGTGCTGGATTCAGAGGACTGTAATAGCCCCTGGGCACCAGGGGCCATGCGTTCTCCCAGCCACTGTGTGATCCCACAGCGTGGCTGGCACTCAGTCAGTGTGTCCTGAAAGAATAATGATGTGCATTTTCTTAGAAATACGTGTCAGTTAGTCCCACAGACTTTGCATAAACATTGTTATTCTGTGAGCCCACTTGGTGCTCTTGGCTCTTTATCGTAAAGTGATTATTTAAATTTTACATGCATTTCCTAAACAGTCCTTTGTATCTGCACAAGATTTAATATAACACTGAATACTGAATAAAAACAACTAAAGTTATAAATAAAGTGCTTAAGAGAAATGCAGAAAAAGGCCGATAGGAAATCTATGAAAATGTATACATAATTTAAGTTGATAATAAAAGAAGTGAAAAAGAAAGCAATAACAGAATCTCTGCTCTTGTTAACAGGTAGGCATGGGTCACCTGCATGTTACGGCAGATGGACTTCGCCTGGAGGGGGAGTCTGAGTTTTTATTCCCATTGTATGTCAAAGAAATACGCTCCAGAGAGGTAAGAAAATGAGGACATGTTTAAATAATTTATGAAAAATAAATAATGGTTTGCTTTTCTAATGAAAAGGATGTCTGCACTGACATTGCATGGCTCCCTGGCCATGTGCCTTGTGTGTGCCCTGGCACACAGTGAGTGACCAGCAGGGTCACACCTAAAACCTTGCCCAGAAATCCCAGCCCCACTCCCAGCAGATTTTTTACATCTCATTGACCAGAGTTGTATCACTTGGATCTCTTACCCCAGAAGACAGCCTGAGAAAGCATTTAGCATTTCCAGCCCCTGAAGTGGAAGCCAGAAAAAAAAAGTGGGGAGAGGGGAGTTGGAAAGCATCCAGGAGTAAAGCAGAGTGGTTCCCCCGACAGCTGACTGTGTCCATGCCCGGGGTGGGCCTCACAGCCCTGACTGCGGCCCTGTCCTCCCTTTCAGGGAGAATGATCAAAAGAAAAAAAAAAAACAAGAGCCTGGACGTTGGCACCTGAAGACCGGGCTCCATTATGGAACTGTCACTTGCTGGTTGTGACTTAAGGAGAACCGTCATTTAATCTCTTTGACAAGTGCTCGGGCCTGGTGCACTGGGAAGACCCAGAGGGATCAGGTGGAGAGGGAGGTGGGAGGGGGGACCGGGATGGGGAATATATGTAAATCCATGGCTAATTCATTTCAATGTATGACAAAAACCACTGCAATGTTGTAAAGTAATTAGCCTCCAACTAATAAAAATAAATGGAAAAAAAAAAATCTCTTTGAACTCAGTTCCCTCATCTGTAGATGAGGATCAAAGCTACCTCCTTCAAAGTGTGGAGGTAAACGAGAGGATGGATGGTCAAAATCTTCGGTGAATTGTTAGCTTTTATTATCATGCTAGTTACTTCATAAGAAAGCAAAAACAAGTAGTAAGCTCACACCACTGGATAAATGGTGAGACGCTGGTAAACCCATGTGCTTCCACAAAGCAAGTTGGAGAATTTCTAACCAGCCAGACTTCCAAAGCACTCCTAAAACTTCTTTCCTTCTGGAAAAAAAAAAAAAAGACACAGCATTCCTCCACAACTTTAGAAGATACTTGGTTCCCTCTGAGTAACATAAACCCACCTGAAGCTAACAGCCAAATTACTGCATTCCTTTTGAAGAAAACTGTTTATATAAGAGCCAGCAATCTTCTGTGAAACAAAGCCCCCATTCAGACTATGACCCCACTTACATGCTCATAAAGCCACTTTATCTTCCAACAAAGAGCTCTAAAAGCATAGGCATCCAACAGATTTTAAAAGCTCTTGAAATTGTGAGAAGGCTTTTGTGTTTTGAAAATAAGTAATACGGTCTTTATTATAGAAGAGCTAACCATCCTCTGATTTATCTTTTAAAATATATCATATCCTGGACATAAATTGTGAGAAATGAAATTTAAATTTTTTTGAAAAGACCAAATACTGATTAAAACTTGATTGTTTCAGATCTTCACATTAAGAATGGACCTGGTGTATTATAAAATGTAGATGGGCTCTGTAAACCCACGATGTTATTATATTTTGTGGGGAAATAATGCGTTTACCCCATTCACATAATATAATCCAAGTTTAAAAAAATTTAGTCACGGTTTATAAGCTCATAGGATCTGTGATATTGGAAAAACTATTTTCTATAAATCCTCAATTTATATACAAATATAAAAGTATAGTCATTTTAGATAGTATACATTTAGCTCACTGTGTAAATCCATTTTTAGGACTCATCTCTGCTTCTGCAGTCTACACAGAATGTGACCATGAATGCACGCAACACAGAAGGAGAAGTCACAGGCAGGTTAAAAGTGGGTAAGTTCACCTTCATCAGAGTGCTTTGAGTGTGTGTGTGGTCCACAAACAATTGTGCCAAATGGATATATTTGGTTTTTTCTTCTAAAGTATTCAGAGTTATTTATGAGCAATCAGAGTATGAGTTTTCTAAATATCATGCTGTGTTGACCATAGAGAGTTCACCTAGTGGGAGGACAGTCTGAAGTATTTTAATTGAAGTTATTTTGATTCCAAGAAATAGAGGACTATTTAAGGTAGTACAAGAAGCACAGTGATTATTGCAGGATACAAAATAATCTTGCAGAGACAGAGAAAAGAAAGCAAAATAGTTGCACTCAAGGAAAAAAAGACCCAGGGCTGAGAGTCAAAGAATTCCTCCTCTCTCTTCCTCTACCCATCCTTCTCACCTCCATGTTTCCTTCCTTTCTGTGTGTGTTTGCCCATGATTTTCACTTGGGTATTGTGATTACATCAGTCCTAACTCTACAGGACTCTCTGGTCCTTCCTCTGGTTGACTATAGTTCTCAATACCAGCCAACTTAGTCTTCAGTGTCTTCAATTCTGAACTCACAACAAAGTACTCTAATTGGCCCAATCACTCTGTCCAACCAACTGCCCTTGGGTGAGCCATGTACACCCATCTGACCAACAAATAAGATCAGAGAATATGGTCAAATGGAAGCAAGGTCCCATGGAATCTTGCACAGAGAGCAAAAGGATTAGAAAGAATAAGTATCAATGGAAGAAATAACAAAAGAGCAAACAGATGGTGAAAGGAATATATATTTGGATTACATATGTATACATGTATACATATATATGACTCAGTTATACATATACATGTATCACTTCAGTTCAGTCGCTCAGTAGTGTCCGACTCTTTGTGACCCCATGGACTGCAGCACGCCAGGCCTCCCTGTCTATCACCAACTCCCAGAGTTTACTCAAACTCATGTCCATAGAGTCGGTGATGCCATCTCCAACCATCTCATCCTCTGTTATCCCCTTCTCCTCCTGCCTTCAATCTTTCCCAGCATCAGGGTCTTTTCAAATGAGTCAGTTCTTTGCATCAGGTGGCCAAAGTACTGGAGTTTCAGCTTCAACATCAGTCCTTCCAATGAACACCCAGGACTGATTTCCTTTAGGATGGACTGGTTGGATCTTCTTGCAGTCCAAGGGACTCTCAAGAGTCTTCTCCAACACCACAGTTCAAAAGCTTCTATTCTTTGGTGCTCAGTCTTCTTTATAGTCCAACTCACACATCCGTGCATGACTACTGGAAAAACCATGGCTTTGACTAGACAGACCTTTGTTGGCAAAGTATTACCTCTGCTTTTTAATATGCTATTTCAATGGCATTATTTAATGGCTACATAATATTCCAAAGAAGGTACATATATAATAACTTGATTATGTAATATTCACATATTGTAGTTAGGTTACTCTATTCAGTCATTATCACAGTTCTTAATTCAGGCCACTCATATACTTAGTAGGTATTTTCAGTAAATGTTTATTGAATGAATGGAGGAGTGAATGAAAGATTGTGCAGTATGGGATGGGCTAAAAAACCAGCTGGGAGAGAGTTTTAGGAGATGGAATGGGGTAAGATGGCCTGTCTAGGGTGCTCCAAAGTGCACAGGGGTTTAGGTGTAAGTCTGAGCTACATCATGAGGGATTTGGGGTCATGGAGAAGATCATGGGTAGGAAACAGATTCAAAATTTAGCAGCCAAAACAGAGGAGAGAATTTCAACAAAGAAAGTCAGGAAGAAAAATCAAGGGGTTAGCAGCTTTATTCACAATAGTCAAAACATGGAAACAACATAAGTGTCCATCAGTGGATGAATGGATAAAGAAGATGTGGTACATATACACAATGGAATACTATTTATTCAGCCATGGAAAAGAACAAAATAATACCATCTGCAGCAACATGAATGAACCTAGAGGTTGTCATACTAAAGTGAAGTAAGTCCCAAAGAGGAAGGCAAATACCATATGATATCACTTATATTTGGAATCTAAAAAAAAAAATAATAAAATATGATACAAGTGAACCTATCTATGAAACAGAAATAGGCTTACAGACATAGAGAACAGATTGTGGTTGCCATGGGGGAGGGGACTGGGAAGAGGGATGGATTGGGCGGTTGGGGTTAGCAGATGCAAACTATTACCTGGAGAATGCATGAACAACAAGGTTATACTGTATAGCACAGGGAGCTATATTCAATATCCTGTAATAAACCATAGGGCTTCCCTGGTGGCTCAGTGGTAAAGAATCCACCTGTCAATGTAGGAGATTTGGGTTTGATACCTGGGTCAAGAAGATCCTCTGGGGAAGGAAATGGCAACCCACTCCAGTATTCTTGCCTGGAGAATCCCATGGACAGGGGAGCCTGGCGGGCTACAGTCCATGAGGTTGCAACATGAAGTCAGACATGGTTTAGCAACTAAACAGCAAAAACAACAATAAACCGTAATGGAAAAGAATATGAAAATATATGTATGTATATGTGTATATATACATATACATATATATATAACTGAATCACTTTACAGCGGAAGTTATAATATCGTAAATCAACTCTACTTCAATAAAACAAATTTTTTAAAACAAGAGGTTCATCCACAGTGCTTCTGTAAACAGGACTGGAGCCCTTTCCTGGTTATTTATGTCCGTGAACTCATGCATGTAGAGTAAAAGACTAGCCTAAAGATTAGAATTAAGCTACACAGATAAGGGTCATTGACTCCAGGCTTATAAAGCTGAACTAAATAATGCAAAATTACTCTGAAAAATTAGTAGAGTGAACTTAACTGCAGTTTTCTACTTCCACTCCAGTATTTGTCTGGTACCATATCTGCAGCAGTAGAACAAAAACCTTCCTAAAGGACTTTGTGATGTTTGTTTTTAAATGATGCTCTCTTAAGTTAAAGCTAGCATAGTGGGGAGGGTCAGTGTTAATGGGTTATATTGTGAGTTAGGAAGAATTTGATTGTGTTTTTACAAGAAAAACCCTTGAGCCAGTTTCACAAACTGAATTCATCAGACCATAAAACCTGCCTTTATTTACTTCCTTTATCTTTTATTTATTTCCCTCTTTGTTTGAACCAAAGCCTTTCATTAGAAATTTTATTTTACCAAATAGCTCTTTCTTTATCACGAAGAAAGTATTTGAGTTTTGTTTCTTAAAGGACGTGGCTGCAAATGAGGGTGATGTGTTCACTTCTTTTTTTTTTTTTTCATTTATTTTTATTAGTTGGAGGCTAATTACTTCACAACATTGCAGTACTTTTTGTCATACATTGAAATGAATTAGCCATGGATTTACATGTATTCCCCATCCCGGTCCCCCCTCCCACCTCCCTCTTCACCCGATCCCTCTGGGTCTTCCCAATGCACCAGGCCCAAGCACTTGTCTCATGCATCCAACCTGGGCTGGTGATCTGTTTCACCCTAGATAATATACATGTTTCGATGCTGTTCTCTTGAGACATCCCACCCTCGCCTTCTCCCACAGAGTCCAAAAGTCTGTTCTATACATCTGAGTCTCTTTTTCTGTTTTACGTATAGGGTTATCGTTACCATCTTTCTAAATTCCATATATATGTGTTAGTATACTGTAACGGTCTTTATCTTTCTGGCTTACTTCACTCTGTATAATGGGCTCCAGTTTCATCCATCTCATTAGAACTGATTCAAATGAATTCTTTTTAATGGCTGAGTAATATTCCATGGTGTATATGTACCACAGCTTCCTTATCCATTCGACTGCTGATGGGCATCTAGGTTGCTTCCATGTCCTGGCTATGATAAACAGTGCCACGATGAACATTGGGGTGCACGTGTCTCTTTCAGATCTGGTTTCCTTGGTGTGTATGCCCAGAAGTGGGATTGCTAGGTCATATGGCAGTTCTATTTCCAGCTTTTTAAGGAATCTCCACACTGTTCTCCATAGTGGCTGTACTAGTTTGCATTCCCACCAACAGTGTAAGAGGGTTCCCTTTTCTCCACACCCTCTCCAGAATTTATTGCTTGTAGACTTTTGGATAGCAGCCATCCTGACTGGCGTGTAATGGTACCTCATTGTGGTTTTGATTTGCATTTCTCTGATAATGAGTGATGTTGAGCATCTTTTCATGTGTTTTTTTGCCATCTGTATGTCTTCCTTGAAGAAATGTCTGTTTAGTTCTTTGGCCCATTTTTTGATTGGATCATTTATTTTTCTGGAGTTGAGCTGGAGGAGTTGCTTGTATATTTTTGAGATTAATCCTTTGTCTGTTGCTTCGTTTGCTATTATTTTATCCCAATCTGAGGGCTGTCTTTTCACCTTGCTTATAGTTTCCTTTGTTGTGCAAAAGCTTTTAAGTTTCATTAGGTCCCATTTGTTTATTTTTGCTTTTGTTTCTAAAATTCTGGGATGTGGGTCATAGAGGATCCTGCTGTGATTTATGTCGGAGAGTGTTTTGCCTATGTTCTCCTCTAGGAGTTTTATAGTCTCTGGTCGTACATTTAGATCTTTAATCCATTTTGAGTTTATTTTTGTGTATGGTGTTAGAAAGTGTTCTAGTTTCATTCTTTTACAGGTGGTTGACCAGTTTTCCCAGCACCACTTGTTAAAGAGGTTGTCTTTTTTCCATTGTATATCCTTGCCTCCTTTGTCGAAGATAAGGTGACCATAGGTTCGTGGACTTATCTCTGGGCTTTCTATTCTGTTCCATTGATCTATATTTCTGTCTTTGTGCCAGTACCATACTGTCTTGATGACTGTGGCTTTGTAGTATAGTCTGAAGTCAGGCAGGTTGATTCCTCCAGTTCCATTCTTCTTTCTCAAGATTACTTTGGCTATTCAAGGTTTTTTGTATTTCCATACAAATTGTGAAATTATTTGTTCTAGGTCTGTGAAAAATACTGTTGGTAGCTTGATAGGGGTTGCATTGAATCTATAGATTGCTTTGGGTAGTATAGCCATTTTGACAATATTGATTCTTCCAATCCATGAACACAGTATAT